TTTCAACTGTATAGCTCCTATAAAGAATGCAGTTCAAGGGGGGTCGGGACTTATGGCCAGCACTGTATATATATATATATATCGTATAGATGTATATGGCTCATTCTCAACGATAATACTAGTATGGCTGAAAAAATACAGGTAAGAATATCTTTTTTCATAAACTACGTCTATTTTTTCAGCTACATTGGCATTTTCGTGAAGAAGTAGGAATGAATATGTTGCATGTATTGTATACAGGACATATGCACATCATTTTAGATCAGGTCTCGAGTTCGTTGAGTCCCAAAGTTTTAAGTCTGAATCCAAATCCGTTGGTACTCTTAATACTGAATGAAGTTTTTTAATCTGCGTCTAATAGCTGCTCCAAAACGTTTGCAATACATTTTTCAAGCAATATTAACGATGGTTTTATATAGAAGTTATGATTTTCAAATGACAAAAGTTTTTTTTTTTGTCAAAATCACGCCTGTAGAAAGCTACCATAGCGTTGACAGCTTGTACTAAGAAATAAAAACCTAATTTTACTTTGTTTTAGGATGACCAAGAGATGAGTAATCGATGGGAGGAATATGGCAAAAAGATATTGGCATTAACAAAAGCGGGCACAACTATTGATCATCAAATGGCAAAACAGATCGCCGAAGAATGTGGAGTTCCTCTCGAACACTAAATTTTCTGTTGCTATTTTTCTCTCTTTTTCTTTGACAATAAAGATTTAAATATAAGTATAGTTAACATTTAAAATTATTTCATAGCTCAAGTTATCATATTGTGCACCTTAAAGTGAAATCCAAGCCACAGATTAATGCTGTGACTATCATACAATCAGAAATGTGTGACAGTTATATTGTTTTTTATGATAGAGAGGTTGATTTTAGGGTGGGTGTGGGTGTGGGTGTGGGTGGGTGTAGGTGTGGGTGTGTGATCAGAAGATATCCACACTCATTCCCACACCCACACCCATACCCACATCCACACCCACGCCCATCTACACCCACCCACAAGCTAGAACTCTTTTGATAGGTTTTATCTTAATTTATTGTTCATGACAGTTGAATTTTTAAAAAAATGAAATACACACAGGTATGTCACCGCTTGTTCTCATGTATTTTGTTAATGAACTTTGTTTAATACAAAAGAAACATTATACTAAGACAAATAGGCTCCTTCTCAGAAATGTTTTTGAACTGATCATCAGGGGTGACGAGTATGATTGTTATCTAAACGTTCGTTATAAATAGCTCCTTTGGATTATGTTTGCAAAACATGTCCCAGAACTGTAGAATTGACGGGTATGTGAGAAAAAATAAACCTATCTGTATTTTAACAATACCTGTGTTAGTATTTCTCTTTGCTCAGACTTTAATTGTTTCTTTAAAGATTTGTGCCTTTTAATTCTCTACAAAATGATATCTGTTCCATTAATATAAATAACATCTTGTCGAATTTTTTTGGACCACACGTTTTAATGCATCCATAAGTCTTTCTTTCGATGTTACTTTTTCTCAATCGATCGACTAAACGAACTCATCGCAAATAGAATAGTTCAATGGATTACACTCTAGACTATTCGATTGTCAATGATCCTTGTCTATGAGAAAAAGAAAGTTATCTTAGCGCCATCGTTGAGTTAAATGATTGAATGTGAGGCTCTTTTGAAATGTTCTATTTTCATTGAAGGTCTTATTTCCATATTGGTGTGCTATTGGAAGGACATTCTAAATGTATTGAATATAATCTACTGTCTCTTGATCCAAAATGATTACCGATGTCTCTACTTTGGAATAGACACCTAACCAGACTATGACCTTATGAGAAAACTTTTCTTTCTTTTTAATACTACCTTTTTGATTGCTGCAACATGATTGATTGGCTAAATTCTTTAGTTTTACAAGTTATATAAAACGCTAATATCGAACAGCTTTTCATCTGAAAATAAAATTCGCATCCTGTCCTCTTTTCGCAAATTATGACTGATTCAGGATACAAGTGTTTCCATTTGTATTTTTATTCTTCAGTAAGTCGCAATCGAATTATTTTCTACTAAGCATGGCATTTTAGATGATCTCTCCGTACTCAAGAGAGCGCGTGATTTAAACATGCCGTATTTTTTAGCTAACCTTCGAACTGACACCTTCTTTTGTTGTTCCAATCTGTGCCTTATGATTCGTTTTGCGCCAGTTTTTCGTAGTATTAAGTCTCAACAAGCTATTTAAATCACGATAGATCTTGGTCAGGTCATCAGTATCTCCCTACTTGAAAAAACTATGTTTCAAAAATCTTTAATTTTATATTATAACAAACACAAGTCACATATGAATAAAATGCAATATATAGGTTGTCGTAGAGGATAAAAACAGAAATCTTTAAGAAAATTAGGTCTAGAAAAAAAGAACTTATATGGATGTCAGTAAAATGTGAAAACTAACCCTTGCTGGGATATCTATTATTCAATGAAAGGAAAAACAATAAGGGTTTTTGTTCACACCAGGGAAGTAGATTATCTTGCAGCTTCTTTCCTAAGAGAAATACTTATTAAAAGATCCTCCTAAAAGATTTGTGCGCTAGAACATAATAAAGAATGCGAGGTCTATTAATAAGAGGAAATAGCTATGGTAAAGAATCATATTCATCGACATATAATTCTGTTACATTAAACAGAAATTCAATGTGACAAAGGAAAGATCGCAATATTCATAACAAAATCAATCACTGGAAACCGACACTCTGGAGAAGAAATAGAAGATTTTATCAAAACAAGTAAGACTGATGAGAAATTCCAAAATTGTAATTTTTTTTCTAAGAGAATTGAAGTAACATTTTGTAAATAGCAGAATGAAAGTTGAATCGGTTTCGATCAGAATGAAAGTGGAATTATTGTTGTTGGTTAATGAAATCGAAGTAGAATTGCTGTTCACTAGAATTGAAGTTTAAATAAAATTGATTAATTGATAGATAGAGTCATAGTGGTCGATAACCTAAGTTGTCCATCCTTGACTTAAGAAAAACGATTTATCCATATAAAGATATTTGTTATTCGGTGCTTCTAAAGTCTTAATTAAATTTTTAAAATCATCTGTCAATTTTAGTCCATCTAGTTTTCTTTTTAAAAATTCAAAATCAATGATTTCTTGTAATGGTCGTTCAAATAAAATATTTTCATTTTTATTTAATTTATGAAGAAAATATCTTTCAGCATAACAACAAATAATAATAATTTCTTTTGATTGAAATTTATTATTTAATGAATTAATATTAAGAAAATGAAAAAGTTCATCTATATCTTCATATGTTTTATATTGATTAAAATATTCGAAAACAATGTCTTTAGCATCATCAATATCTATTGTGATATCAGGTTGAATTTTACGTATTAATTTCATAACAATTTGTTGTCGATTAATTAATGGTTTTGTATATTTAACGAGAAAGGATAATGACGAAAGATTTTCTAATTCATCATATTTTGATGGAAGTGTACATTGAATTGATAATGCATTAAGAGTTCTTGGTGCTTTAGATTTTTCTAATTTTTTTTCTTCTAAACGAGTTTCTTCATAAAAACGATTTATTAATTCAGACGTTTGCTGTGTTTGTTGAATTAATGGATTTAAATATTCCATTTGAAGAAATGTTCCTTTTTCTCTAAAATTTATGTAGTCTTTATGCATATCATTAATGAGACCGGTATAATAACCACCTAAAAAAATTTTAAAATTTAAAAAATTTTCAATAGCTTTTGTTTCATAGATTATACCTGGTACGGCTCTAACTTCTTTGTTTTTAACAAGTTTAAGTTGCTTTCTAAGCATTTGTTTTTGTTTATTTTTTCTTGATGGTATTAATGTTTTAGGAGTTGTAATTTGTGTTGTTTGTAGATTTTCATTATTCAATGATTGCTTTTTGTTTTCTTCAATTTTATTTTGAGCATCCATAAATAGTAAAAGATACAAAATATTGTTTAGTTTATTGTAAGATTTATCAATATGTTCTTTTTTTTTGTACAACAAACTTCAAATAAATAGGAAAAAACTATGGTTTCCTTAGTAATGTATTTAGATATGATCAATATTATTTTCCTTATTAGCTAATGTCTTATGATTTAATTTTGACGATTAGATTTTTCTTTCTAATCATTCAATATAATTCATAAAATTTTATTTTGAACGACTATTAGTCATCAAATATAGTGCAACTTTTTAAAAATCTATAGATATTCGTCATTGAAGCAATTCATTACATCTTCAACACTTACATAAAACTTTCCTCTTTTGACAAGATTCAGCTGTCGGCACTCTTCGCACTATGATTCATACTCAATGCAAAGACATACATACCATACATACACAAATGTAATTTAGATAATATTAACGAATCAGAGAAAAGAATTATTCGATGAGTATATATTGACGTTGCGAAAGAACACATACTGCCAGCTGAGTTTCTGTCAAATACTACAATTAATAATAGGCTATTTTACTAAATGGTATGATTTCTACCAAGGCCATTATATATCCATGTGTTCTTTTCTTCTATCAATTTGGCTTACATCATACTTCATGTCATATTTATCTTTCGATCGACTGTAGAAAGAACAAGAAAATATCAAAGACAAATATATGGTAGACGATTGAAGTGCTATTGAATGATTACGTACTACCTTTGTATGCAAGGTAAAATGAGGTTCTATCTCTTTCTTTTGATCGTTTAAATAGATATTATCTTGATCAATGAAGTGTGAAAGGCAAAACTACTTTGGCCTTAATTTCATATTGTAAAATATGATCTACTCGGCTTTTATTTTATTATAAATTTTTTATTTATGAAAAAAAAAAAGATTCTGTTTTGATTTTTTTATAATTAACTAATAATCTTTGTTTTTTGTTTATGTAGTATTGGAGGTCGTTTGTTGTCTAATCAAGCGTAAAATTAATCGAACATTCATGTTTTATGTAACTATTTGTAAATGATGAGTGATTCTACAAAGACAATGTCGACAAATGACAATTTAAATTATGAATCTGTTCATTCTGTAAAAGTTTTAATTAAACATCGACGAACAGGGGAATTTATTGCTCGTAAATCTTTATTAACAGATTTATTTCAAATTTCACATATTAATTGTATACGAAATGCATTTATTTCTGGTTTTTTTTTAATGATATTACGTCAGACAATCAATGATCTTATTCATTACGGAAGGTAAAAAATGTTCATCTTTACAAAATATAATTTTCTATGTTTGGTTTTTTTTTTTATTAGATTGAATTGGACCTTTGAACTTCTCTTCCTTACTGTTGGTAAATTACATATTGTCGCAATAGTTTGGTCTCTTATGACATTATCTACCAGTTTTATTGTTTTTCATAGTACATATATGTGGGCAAGTGATCGTAAATTTGTTGGAATTTATCGTAGTAAAAGAAAATATTATATTGAATATTTTAAATAAAATAAATATTGTTTTTTTTTTATTTAGAATGGTATGATATAATCTGGTTGGTGATTTATGTTTTTTATTTAACGGGCTTAATGATAATACCTAGTTGGCAAATTATAAAATATCAGCTACCAATTGCTTCTTCAGCAATTATTCTTGCCGAACAAGTATGTTTTTTTTTTGAAAATTTTAAGTCTAGACAATTTTCTACAAAATGTACAACACAAAAAGAAAATTCCATATGTCAAGACAAAAGAATCGATGACAAAAACTTTTATTTTTCCAATATGATCATATATATATATTCTGATTTTATGTCATGATGATAAATATTGAACTGCAACAACTGAAAACAGACGAAAATATAGAAGTTCCATAAATGGATAGAAAGAGTTTGTTCGTATGCTAGATTATATAACTATAGTAGGAGAAAATATCAAGTAGATTAGATTCATCAATCATCATGTTAAGAACCGTGTTGACAACTATTAATACTAGAGAGACACAATGCTTGACAGTAAACGCAAAATTTACCCATAAACAAAAAAAGACTTCTTTCGCTTTCAATAACAAAAAAATTCGAAATTATCTTTTAATTTTAATATTCGAAGAAAAATATTCGTTTTTTGAATACGATTATATAAAACTAAGATACTATTCATTAAAAATATAATGTACTTGATTATTTCTTGTCAGTAATGGCATTAAAGAAGTGATACAGCGGTGATCACTTCAAAAAACTGTTTTTTTTTTACTATGATCGTCGACTTTCGTCTCTGGTTTCCTAAATTCACCATTGTTTCTTGTGTAACTTGAAAAAGTAACACAACATTCACATAAAATGTTCGCTGTGGCTATAACTCTATACGTTTTCATGTTTACCATTCCTAACTAGTAATCACAAGCTGTTCTGAACTATAATGTTACAACATTACCTGTTGAAAAAAATTGACAATCGACTTATGATGAAGTAAATGGTCAGATAGACTCGAATCTAACAAACATGGATCATGTCATTCAACTCTACTCGGTTGGTAATAAATATTAAAATTTAGATGGAGTTTAATTTTACCCTAAAACAAATGTATGTTTTTGATTATCAAGTATAAATATACTAAACATTGTGCAACAACCGAAGAGAAAAGAAAAAAAATCTGTTAATTACATAAAACAAAAGAAAAATATCATTCTGATTTCAAGGAATGATAAATTTCAATTTAGCTAAGAAATCAGAAATTTACTGTCTTGAACGTAAATGTTGATCAGAACAAAAGTATGGATGAGGATGAAGATAATACTAAGGTTGAGTGTGATCATAAGAGTAGGTCTTTGGAATGTAACGAATAATCGTTGTTACAATAAAGGAGAAAGTCCTAGTATGAGCGAAATAAGATTTCTCGTTTTTGTTTCTTTGATTGCTACTTTTCTATTCTTTGTCGTAAATTAAATTTGTAAAAAAGTGAAAACATTTCGAATCAATTATTTCTATTTAGTTACGACAATTGATGAAAATACATTCATTTGTACGTGAGAATGTTAGAAAAATTCTTCAACAATCACATAATTCAGTTGGTTTGTTGAAATCTTTTTATTTTCTTTGAAAATTTTTATTTTTTAATATATTTTTTTTTCTAAATTTAGATCAAAAATTATCTTTTGAATTTAGTCATTTTAATCAATATGTATATTTTCTATTTGCACCTACATTACTTTATCGGGATCATTATCCTCGCACATCAATTATTCAATGGAATATTGTTATGAAAATGTTTGGTCAATTTATAATTACTCTTTTTTTAATTTATAATATAATAACAAATTTTTGGATGCCAATTTTTACACGTTTTTTTACAAATGATGAAATAAGATTTGATTTTATGATTTCAACTATATTTGATTTAATGTTACCAGGAGTACTTATTGTTATATTAGGTAAAATATTTAATTAATTAATTTTTCATAGAAATTATTTTTTTTTTCCTGTTAAGCTTTTTATGGATTTTTTCATTGTTGGTTAAATGGATTTGCTGAATTACTTCAATTTGCTGATCGAATGTTTTATGAAGTATGAGAAAAAAGAAAAAAATTATCTTTATTAATTATATATGTATAGGATTGGTGGAATTTAACTTCAGCTGCAACATTTTGGCGATCATGGAATGTTGTTGTACATGATTGGCTATATGTTTATGTTTATCAAGATCTGAACAAAGTTATTTCAATGTTAAATTTTATGATTCAACAAATTCTTCTATTTGTTTGCAATTTTTTTTAGTTTTTTAATGGTAATCGAAATTTAGCAACCACCAGTGTTGTGCTTCTTTCAGCTGTATTTCATGAATATTTTATGATTATTTCACTTGGATTTTTTTCACCAATATTAATCGCATGGTTTGGTTTATTCGGAAGTATGTTAAAATATTTATTTGAATAGTCATATTTTCTTTATATATATTTATTAGTGTTATTTCGTTTTTCTTTTCCACGTGCAAAAGGAACACGATGGAATATTGTATTATTAACATTTGTACCAATTTGTGTTGCAATTATACCCTATTTTTATGTTCTAGAAGTTTCAGCTCGATATTTTCCTTCAAAACGTGTAAGTTTGAGATTTAATTTTTGTTTATAATGATGATTGAATGCATATTTATGTAGAAAACATTCTGGAACATAATGTTCAATAGTAATAAACAATCGAACTATGAACTGTGAAAAGAGAAAATTACATAAAATGGAAATCGTAAAATTTTCAAAGAAAATTAGACGTATTTCATTTTATTTTTATTAAAATAAATATTTAATCAAAAAATTTGATCATATTTCTTGGTAACTATCATTATTATATCGAAAGACTTGATGTAAGGATATACACTGTAGAAAGACTGAAAAGAAAAATATCGAAGTCAGAAATTATTGAAAAACAAAGTGATGTATCTTGTAAAGGTTGATTTTGGGTATGCATCGTTGTATTATTGCCATAGCTATTTCATATTTATCGGATGTAAGGTCAGCCATCATCAAAAGTTATTTCATTGATTCATTCACAGAAAAAAAGAATATCCTTGTTGTTATGAGAGGATTATGTTTTCAAAGTGAATCAAAAAACGCAACAACTATTACGAAGTATTGGAAATATATTCTACAGATAAAGAAAAAATTGAAGTGCGTGAATATCGTGAAAAAGCTTTCTCTTTTTGTTTCTCTTGATTTGGATATGATCTCTGTTTGAATGTTAGAATTATCCCATATAATAAAGAATGTGTCTTGATAGTCAAAATTTTCTAAAGTATTTTTTTTAATCTTTCTTCGATTGCTCGATATGAGTACTAAATCATTTATTTAGATTCTAAAATAAGAACTATCTTAACTTTCTAATTATCTAAACATGTTGTTAATTTTGTTTTGTTGACAATTTAGAACACATTATACGAATTTTGAATATATTGACTGTCAAGTTATCTATTCATACAAGCGTTTGAGAATTTTAAGTTT